TGTCAATCAGAAACTCAAGCATATCTTTCTTGACAACTTCAGAGTACTTTTAGGCAATCAGAATGTGTTTTAACAAAATAATTTTGCAAATTACCAATGACCTGATAGGTAAGTTGTATAAAGCCTAAATACGTCTTTTGTGATCGATCGACATGGGATTTTTCTTCATCTGGGAATGCCTCCTGATTCCCTATAATTAATCATACTGTAGCATGTTAATTATTATTGTAGCGTATTCTTTTTAGATATACCTCTACTCCCATTTTAAAACAAAAGCATTAAATTTTCTTCTTTCTTCTACGCAAATTTCAAAATAATTACTATTTCTTTTCAGCAAATTAGACATTCCAATATGAGTGAAAAAATCCCGAGAGTGACATCTAAGAACTAAAAATCGATCAAACAATCAATCTAATCAAATTAAAAAAAAAGAATTTTCATAGTATTTTAATGCCTAATTTATCAGAAATTTAGGAATGTGTATATTTTCAAAACAAAGTGTTCAAAAGTTAAAGCCAAGATTAAAATATATCAAATGTAAATCAAATTCCAAGGTAAAAAACAAAACAGCACATGTTAAGCTAGTAGAAATCTCTAGCACGAAGTATTTAAAATTATGATCGAGGTTAAAGTTTTGTAAATTTCTGCAAAAGTGGTCCAAGGTCAATTTCAATAGATAAAAAAAATTCAGAACCAAAAAAAGGTCTTGTCACAAGAAATACAAATGTGAGATATGAAAGCACAAACCAATCAAAAGTTATGGCATGGGAATTTTTGTTTCGAGAATTAGACTGCTTACCGGACGCACGGAAGGGCAGGTTAAAAACAATATGTTTCGTTTTGCATCTTTCTATGATAAGGCTTTCCCCTAAGTACTTTTAAATTGCTTCTTTGAACTTGACCAAAATTAAAACCCTTCGCCTAGACAAAAGCCTTTCAATGGATGGTCCTTTGGCGTTTATATTTTACAGGAGGTATATTCATTGAAAGAAGTCGTTTTTTTGGTAACAATATTTTTCATATTCTTCCCTTAGAGTTTGACTTGCTTAATAGATATTTTTATCATCGCAGAAAGCTACCATAAGGGAGCAGGAATGTTTCACATTGTTTGTTGTCTCTTGTTTAAAATAAAAAGTAAATACTTCCTTCACAATACACAAAGTAATACTCCAATTGACAAATAGTCATTGTGTTTATTTTTCCTTCAGTTTGAATAACGAAGCGTAAATTTAAAGTCTGTTGAAAGCTGAACACGACATATAAAATGACATATGTCGTTTCACTATCTACTGTATATAGTAGCAGTACCAGAGTATACTCTTAACATTTATTACATGTGACTGCATATTTTGCACGGTTGTCGGCGTGAAATGGTGACAACTTTTTGTGTTGGTAATCTTAGATTACCTTTGTTTAGATTTTATTGCAATTAAGTGTATTGGTGTTTGTTTCTCTATTTTCTGTTCTAAACTGTTGGGATGATTAAACAAGCAGTTTTAAGACAGAATAGATAGCAGTATTACATGAATATAGAAGTTCTTGCATTGAAAAATCCCGTGGAAGTCGGTCTGTTAAAATACCACTTTATTTTTTTTCTGAAGACTAGCATCCAAACAAAAAAAATGAAAAAGAGAAAAAGTCTATCTGTTTCTGTCAGGAGCCAACAAAATAAATGAAGTAACTATGTTATCCTCTTATCTACAGAATAAATCTACCAAAGGAATTACAAGAGTTTCCAGATTTCCCCTATCCAAAGGAATGGACGACATCCTACATTACACGTCAACAATGCCTTCAATACCTCAATATGTTCACAGATCACTACAATCTTAGACCATATATTCGGGTAACACATTTCTTTACTGGATTTTATTCAATTAAAGTATACATAAAATAATTGCAATTAATATTTATCTTCTATGGTGGTGTTATACAGGCTTTCTGTGCGGTATAATTGTATACTAGTATGCTTTAATTCCCTTTATCAAATTTCAATGCATAACGTCTTTATTAAACATGTATATAATTAAAGATTTTTTAAGATAAGACCAATAAAAAATGTAGGGTTGCCGTCAAAACATATGAAATCCTTCGAAAGGTTTTATCATTTCATTTTTATTAATCATAAAAAAAAGTATTAATCAATTTCTGGAAGTTGAGAGAATCTTGATGGTAAATACCAATACCTTTGATATTCGAAATTTAACTACAAATAGTATAAAGAAGGATTGTCTTTTTGTACCCTTAATCATGCTTGTTTGTTTTGAAGACAAATACCTTTGTTCGAGATGTAAGGCCATTTAAGGAAGACGATGAGAACAGCCTTGTTCGATGGTTGGTGACTTTTTCCCCAGTCAACAAGTTATCAGAGGTCAAAACGGAAGTGTTTGATTCTGTTCTTGTCTGTAATGGGTATGAACATTAATGATTTTCTTTTATATATCAATTGCAAACAGATATGTTTCAAAGCGTGTGCAAATTTTCTTTTTCATCTTGACATATTTCTTTCATCTTGTTGTTAAATTTTAATTCTGTCATGAATGACAGGTTTTTCATCGGAAATATTTCATATAATTACGAATTTTGTACTTTTTCAACGGTCGTCGCAGACATGACAGCGAACCTTACAGTCCAAATATTCCCGGAATGGAGTTATTTGAGGGACGAATAATACATAGCAAGGAATTTAGACACGAGGAACACTTTGAAGGTCTTCGTGTTGCAATCCTGGGTTGTAACTTCTCAGGAGAAGACATTTCAATGCATGTAGCAAAGTTTGCAAGAAAGGTATGAAGCCCAAACGGTAAATTTGTTCTTTATCTTTTAAAAAAATTTTTGTCCTTTATTGAAATTGCAGAAAAAGGTTTTAATCCTCAACAGTAAAAAGTATTTTTTCTAATTGTGAAAATTACATTTCATGTCATTTATTACCACACTGTCGTTTTAAGTATGTATTCTGTGAATGTTTTGTATAAAAAACATAAATTTTCCATATGAAATTTAAGTTTTTCATGTTAAAGTATTTTAAGTACAATAAATCTACTTATTGGAGGATACATTCAGCGGCTGTAAATGGATACGATCAATTCAAACTGGAAATTAATTTCTGCGCGCGCTTTAATTATAATTTGTCTATGCATTGAACCACAGAGATCTTTTTTGTGTTATTATTACAATGTATGATAAATCTGGTTTATTATTACACATATACGAATAAAATATTTTAAAACTTAAGTAATTGTGGTGAGCATGAATCAGTTAAGATATTAGTATTTGCTACTTTTCTCCTATTGTCATTTTTTACCCTAACTCTAAAGATTCTTTTGACAAAATTACGAATAGCAGAAATGCAGAAAAAAATATATATATGGATAGTTTATTGTTTTTATTCATTTAACACTTTTTTCACATTTTCCAAAGGTATTTGTATGCCACAGACGGGATCCAAAATACTTCCCACCGTCTTTACCGAAAGAAATAGAGCAAAGGCCCCCCTTTGTCCGCTTGAATAAAGATTCCGTGGTGTTTCCAGATGGAACCTCTGAAAACGTAGATGCCATCATATTCTGCACTGGATATCAGTACGCATTTCCTTTTTTAAAAGATGACATCATAACCATGAAAGATAGACGCATCCAGCCAATATACAAACATATGTTTCATATAGAATATCCAAACCTGATTTTTATCGGAATTGCCCGGATGTTTTTATACTTTCCTATATTTCATGAAATAGCAAAACTTGCAGTTTTGGCGTTAGCGGGAAAAGTCAAATTTCCGTCACAAGAAGAAATGAAGGCAGAGGATGAAGTTGATTTCCAGTTGCGATTGAAGGAAGGAAATCCACCGTCCAATGCACATAGCTTCGGGGACGATTTTTCGCGACAATTTCGGTACAACAAAGAACTTGCAAAATTAGGGGGCTTTGATCCACTCCCGCCTGTTTTTGAGATGCTCTTTCTGGACATCGCAGATGAAAGACACATGAATCTTCCACACTGTAACGAGATTAGTTATCGGGTTACTGGTCCTAAATCTTACGTTTGCTTAAACCCGGAAAAAATTAAATCAAGGAAATCAAAAGCCGAAAACATTGTTAAAGATTGATGAAGCGATCAATACTTTCAAGAATATCGTCCATGGTTCATCCATGGTTCATCTCTTTTAATCTAGAATTTTTATTCAATTATCTATGCCATCTTAATATTTTAATTCTGTTAAAGTGCATTGCTTGATTTAAGGGTTTAGTGTATAATTTTAATGGTAATACCTGTTTTCGTTCTGCTAACAAATCTTTTTGCATGCCACTAACTGTCACATGCAGAGTTAATACCGGGGGGTATTATAATGATAATTTAAATCAAATTGATAAGTAAAATCACTCATCTAGCTCAAGGTAAAGTATTCATGATTCATTTATCCTTGATTCATGAAACTATGGCAATGTGAAAATAGTTTTTACACAGCGAATCATTTTTTTAAAAAAATAATTTTTTTATTCCATACGGTACTATCGCATTGTCATTTGCACATATATAGATCTTAATAATATTTTTTAAACGAATGCGTATAAAAATGTGCACTATACATTTATATTCAGTCTGATTCAAAGATTTTGTTTCAAATTTATATATATTGTTTATACTGTAAATATATGCATGTTGTTTAATTGCGGAAAACCTTTTCTTTTTATCAGAAGAAATAAATTTATAACCAGTTGTGTTTGTTGTTAAAATGACATTACTAAGAACTAAATTATTTGAACTAAAGCTTACTTGACACGTTTCATTATTCAAAGAAAGGCCCAAAGGAAATGACAAATCAACAAAATATTTGTTTTAGGATGTCTTGGTTTAATTAGAATTTACAAGATTGATATGATTAATTTATAAATATTAACAATCTTAGCTTTAATTAAAACCAATGAAAACTGAATAAAATCAACAGTTATTAGAGATTATCTTTCTCTATTTTATCACTAAAATAACGGCAATGTTAACATGAACTTCATTTCAATTCTACAAAATATCGTTTTTTATCCTTTTGCGTAAAAATACATTTCCCTATTGTAAAGATTCAATCCATTCAAGTCTTTGAAATAAGAAGCTTTTTATCTGATATTCCATCGAGATCCAATGCTCCAAATCGATCTTTGACTCTTCGCTTTATATTTTGACAACAACATCCTAGAAAAGCGTTTCCTCCTGCGCATGCGCCGCCTGCCACAGCAAATATCCAGTACCACACTTCTCTGTTGTGTTTGTAAGCAAATATCGTTACCCCAACACCGGAACTTCCAACTCAAAAAAAAAATATGAATCAGAAAATAAGTAATAAATGAATTGATGAGTGAAAAAATATAAATTTTGCATGAAATATACGTTCTATTGATCATCAGAGAATTTGTAGTTCATTATTTATAAGGCAACCACTGAAATATTTCTTTCAATTATTTATTTTTGTTTTCAGAGAATTCATTAAAACGATTTAATTTGACCTGTTCATGATCAGTACATCATGGAAAGAAAGTTTACGAATAATTGCAATCGCCGAGACTTACATGAGATAAAGTGAAGTAATACTTCAATGTGATAACATTTTAAATGACAGTATCCTTTGGACTCCACGGCGACGAATATAGTGAATAGGATCCAGCACCACAAGAGAGATTCAATACTGGTTGAAATAACCATGCAACTAAAAGCGACTTTTATTGAACAATCTAAAAATAAGGAAAATATTTCTTCCTCAATTATGGGCGAAAAGATAAAAATAAATTCCTCTGATATCAATCAAGTTTATAATTTAATGCTTAATCTCTTATGAAACAATATTCAATAATATCCGCTGGCAAGGATTTTCTAGGGGATAAATGTATTTTTGACAACGTGTTCTTGAGCATGTTGTTGAGAAACGGAAGGAAGAGTTAATTTGTAAGTGAAGCAATTTATCAGCAAATACAATGTATCCTGATTTTAAATGTTTTCTTAGATTTATATAATATATAAAATTACTAGTACTTTTTATGTTTACATTTTAGCAGGAGACTTCTAAAATTCCATTTAGAACACTACAGAGTGTACAATACTATATTTACCTGATTCTTTGTTGTCAAGGGCTTTCGGAAACTTTGTTGAGAAAGCTATTAATGAGGGTACCAAAAGAAAGACGCTGATTTGAGAAAGCATGGCGCCCACCACAGTCCGGAAGAGAAAGAAGCGTGAAGATACCTCGTCCATCATGGTGACTGTTGCCTAGAAAACAAATTTACCGTGAAAAATACAGTTTATTTGGTGCATATAGGCAGCACCCATCAGCCTCGCGATTCAAAATTTAAAGGACCCAAATTAAAATCTTTACGTCACAGTTTCTATATAGTTCAAAAGTTTTTTTTTTATAAAATACATGTATTTTTCTTATTTATTGAAACAGTGTAAAATGTGACATACCTGATTTTGGTTTTATCAGTTATAATATAACCAGCTTCGTGAATTTAAATCGCGGATTCATGTACAATATTGAAAGTATAATTGTATGATAAACATCTTTAGAAACGTGAACGGAAGCAAATCTTGTTTAGAAATTCCGGACAATCCGAGCGACATGTTTATCCTCAGGATTCTTGTAAGTTATGAAAGTAAAATATAAACCTGAAACGGAAGTCAATATTTATTTTGCAAGTTAGCAATAAGTGTTCTTTCTCAAGATTGTATTAAAATGATTATTTTGTTTATGGGGTAATTATCTTTTATGGTAATGTAAAGTTGCATAATTTTTATATTAACATGAAAAGGCAAAAGGCAAAAATTGTAGAAAAAAAAAACGAACAAGGATTGACTATTATTTCATTTTCTTGAGACCCACATTTGGCCTACGGGTTATTCTCAAAAAATAGATTAAAAAATCATCACACACTTGATCATTGCTTTTGTCCTACATGTATATCGCATATAAGCTTCACATTTCAATTCTAAAATATTAAACCTTTAGGAAATATGAGTTTATTTGCAATTCCGAGACTTTATACCGATTTTATTTACACTTAAACTTTTTTTCAATAGACGTAAAATCAAGCAGTTGAATTAATTTGCCTTTTGGCCCCTGGACACACAACTTATACTCTTTATAGATTTTTTTTCACCCATGAATTGACTAGAAACCACTCTTTATGTAGTGTGCACTCACATATGCAACAAGAATTAATTTTCTGGTACATAAACGCACTTGTGTACAATATGATAACAAGAAAGATTTAATATATGTAAAAGCATGTTAAATGCATTAAATTTCCCAATGATTTGTAGTCATGTATAAGTAAATATAACATATCTGACCGCAATTTTACATTGCAATTTTTTTCAAGTCCTGCATTTGTATTCCGTTAAAAGTTTCTTTTAGGGAAATAAACCCTGTATTATTGCCTTTAGTTATTTCCTTCACACCCAATAAATTTTCATTTTCTGTTTTTGATTCATTTCCTTTCATAAAACTTTGATGCTCTTGTTTCCCTTCAATCATATTTCCGGCCGACCCTAGCATGCCTCTCATCTTTTTCATCAGTCTAGAATCCGCCATTTCCTCTCGACGTAATCTTCGATACTCCCTCTGAAATATACAGGCCACGAAGCAGTTGGTCATGGAAAGGAAGGCAGCTACAGTACATAGATTCCAGTACCAGACATTGGGATTCAGCTTAACGGCAAACACGGTTATCCCGACAAAAAGAAACATACCTAGAATCAGATAAGTTAACATTAGATTTTGTTGCACATGTGTTAATATAATGTTTGTGATAATAAAAATATCAAATGTTTTGTCTTTAATCAGCTCTGTATTGATATCAATTGGGGGACTTTTTATCATGCTTTTTTCAAAAAAAAAAAAATCAATTGCTTAAAAATTTACTTTCAACCTAAAATAACTGTTGATATAACAAAGAAGTACTACAAGTTTTATAAAAGGAAAAAAGACGTTAAACAAATAAAAATTAAACACTCAATTAACAGCTTAAAAGTCTATTAATAAAAAGAATGTCTTAGGAGAAAATTTGAAGAATGATTTGTATACTATTTTCCCCTAGGTTATGTTTTTTCACTATCCTTCTGTATTAAGATTTGCTCGCTCAGCATTTTTTATTGTTATAATATTAATAAACAATAAAGAATTTTGCTAGAATACAAATTTGAAAAATACTCACAAGACGTAAAATGCAGCAGTACAATTAAATGGTAGCAATTTATTCGACATCGTCCCTTGCAAAGAAAGGCAAACCCAAAACAGGAGGCTTTCAACAATATGAGGAACACCTCCAAACACGCCGCCAGGCAGAATAGGGCGAAACTCCCTTTGAGAGAACAGGCTGAAATAAAATGTTATTTGACTTACATATTACAATGAACGAAGAGGATAGCGAACAGTGTTCAATCTGAAAAGAAATCTATAAACAATTATGTGAAAAGGACACAAAACGTGACCCCGGGCCCTGGAGTTTCCAGAGGGGGATAAGGTGGATAAGAGGAGTAAATATCCCCTTGTTGACTGGTCAAAAATACCACGAGCTGTATGGATTAATCAAGGATAGTTTTGATTGTCATATACAAATAAAAAAAAATAGAAGAGATTATATTTACTTACATGTTTCTAGATCGTTGAAAATTGTTGGGTTTTCTAGATACATAAACGTTATTATTGGCGCTGCAGTTCCTATGGTGACAACAGAAGTTACGATTCCAAATATCTCGCGAAAATAGAAAAAGCCGGTTTTTGCCTCCATATTCTGGGATATGCTATTAATAGATGCACAGTTGTTTTCGTAAAACAACAATTGTTTCCGTTTCTTCAGGAAACTTATATGCGTATGTTATTTTTCAGTTTTAAATATATTTTATGTGAAATGTTAATGTTTATTAAAGTGTGTGTGTTTTGTGAATTAAAATAAACCATCATTGGATTAAAACTAATAAAAATTTTTAACTGAACTTTTGCTTTAAGCTTGAATAGACAATACAAACCGAGAAAAAAACACTGAAGTTCTTTGCTATCTTTTTATATAAATATGAAACTGTAATATAGTTATTGATTGATTATCTAATTAACTTTGGTACTTAACTTAAGCAGATATGCTCTATCAGTATAGAGTCTTCATTCGTTCAAAGAGTAACCTTTGATGTTTTAAGGGCCTCTTTTTGCCCCGAGCATGTTCTATATCGTGTTTAAATATTGTTCATTAAATCCAGATTCCAGTAGTACGTGACTATAGTCGGAATTTTGCCGTTCATTTTAGCCGGGTTTATGTCATCCTGTTCAAGGCAGGAAGTCAACCCCATAGTCGCCATTTTAAAGTTACGTGCAACAATATAGTTCTTATTCTCAACCGCTTTTGAGATAATACAAACGCTAAATAAAGCAACAAAAATAAAACGAAGTTTTATCTATACATGTATATATAAATATAAATAAACATTATCAGTAATGACTTTAAAAACTTCAGTCCTAAGTCAAAGAACATACGTCATTAGCGTGAGGATTTTTGATAATCAGTGTTATCATAGTTCTCTACACATACGAGGTAAAGCAGGAGAGGGAACCAGACTGGCCTGTTTGTGTTTGTTTACATTCAGCTGCGGTACCAGATTAATTCTGATTCTGACAAAATCGAACCGTGGTATTAGGATTGAAAAACTCACTGTCAGTGTCTCATCATTTAATTTGAAAGATTTAAAAATATCATCAAAATATAAACGTGATTAATGTAAAAATATCCATTCTACTCTGTAAATGAGCCCGGCTCTCTGTACTTCTGAGTACTTTGTTATTTGTAATAATGTAACAAAAAAATTTACGGATTTTCATTTAATTTCATTCAATGGAATAAGAGGACTTGCAAAAAACAGATAGGTAACAAAAGAATAACAGACGTACGGATAGACGAACAGTTATAGCGTAAATAATGAGAGAAACATTTTTCTATTTACAGAAAGTCTATAATACTGCTTAGTTCGTTTTTTCAGCACGAAAACAAAATTTCGTAACTAACACAACTTGATGTCATAATGGGCGCAGTATCAGCGTGATGAAGCATGCAGCCAAGGAAAACATTTAAAAACCACAAATAATGCGTAAATGTTCCATCGGTGCGGTAAATTCGTGTAATGCTATTTGAAATTTGTTGACCAATCTATTCTTGCAAAATTGAATAGTTTTATGACCGATTTGTTATTTAAACAGGTATCAAGAAGGACAAGAATCAAAGTATGTTAGCAGATACTGTGAAATCCCCCACCTATTCAACTTTAGATAGATGTTCCTATGGATCCAGATGTATTAAAAGATATTTGTTGTGTTGCAAACAATAGAATGAGTAGGAGTGAATGAACAATTTGCTCGTTAATTAAAATTAAAAAATGAGGGGGTGATCATCAATTGGTTCTGATTGTGATGGTGTGAAGGAGGTTATTTATTTTCTTGCCTTTGAAATGGACAGAATTTGAAGTGTCAGGTTATTTTTTCCAAGATCACAAGAGACAAATTATAACAGATTTTTTCTTTTCACTAAAAAAAAAATAGATGAGAGGAGAAAAAATCTTCCTTGTAAATAACATTTTTTTAATTTCAGATTACATATTCTAAGTCAGATTATTCCCAAAATCTGTTTTCAGAATCAAATGGTCCTCCTTTTACATGTAAGGTGCTAAATAAATATGATTAAATAAAGTCCAGTCATATAATATTTTGCACCTTCACTATAGTCTACAATGTCGCTTTCTTTTTTTTATAAATACATGTAACTGCAAAATCGTCAAATTAATTAAATATAAGACAAAAATGTATCAATTTAACTTTTAAATAGATATTATTTATTTACATGTTTACCATATATATCCATGTACACATCATTTGGACATGAAGTTTAAAACTAAATCCAGGCTAAGAATCATTATGTTGTGTCACAAATTCTTGAGAGGGACATTACACAACATACAAACAAAGCAAAGGCTGAAATATTTGCTTCAGAAAATAACTACACCTACAGACATCAATATATCAGCAAAGCCTGTGACCAAAAAACCATGAATTGAAAGGCAATGGCAAGAAGAAATTTAAAGTACTCATTATGACAGGAAAGCTAGCTTTTATAGAACATACTATGCATGTAGAAACTTTTCTCAAGGTTAAAGAAATAATTCTGTTTGACTAGAACATGCAGTTCCCTTTTTTAAGAGTGTTATTTTTAACTAGTGTCTCATTTCTCCATGTGATGTACATTTTAATATAAAAGTACATTGGCAATTACGCATTCATGTTAAGGTTACAACCAAATATTCTACTTACCTATCTGATATGACGTCATTGTAAGCTATATGACGTAAACGTTGGATATAACAATATCTTGAAATCGATATTTAAGATTGATTTGAGGTCGTAAAAATGAATCAAAATATACAGAGGCATTATATATACAGAATCTTGTCGTTTCTGGATCTGTGTATTTATCACAGGGGTAAAATACCGAACCCATGACCTCATAACTGTTTATCAGTATTAGCAGAGTGCAAGTGAAACGCAACGAGAATTCAGGTAAACAAACACAAGACA